GTGTCTGGCTGCTGCCCCATAAATGCTGAGCTAGAAATGAGTGGGTGGGGGCCGGCAGGGGGCACGGAGGTTAAGGTACCTAGATCCCACATGGCCTACTGTAAAGGGGGGGTCCAGACCCAGCAGCTTGAAAAGCACACTGGGCATGGCTTGCCCAAAATCCCGAGAAGAGAACAGAGGAAAAGGGATTGCAGTGTGGCCATCCCCCCGGGCTGCTTTCTCACTTTCCCTCTCTCTCTCTCTGTCTCTGTCTCTGGTGAGCACATGTCCCTCACAGCAAAGAAATACATGCATAAATAACAGATAGGAAAGGAAGGGAAGGCGAGGGCGGGGCTGGCGGCGTGAAGACAGGGAGGGCAGGTGAGACAGCGCGGGCATTGTGAAGAGCACGCGGGGAGTCCCAGGAGAGGAGACCGCGCAGACAGAGTGCACCGGGTCCAAAATACGCAAGATCACAGAGAACTCAGGTCAGAGCACCGTGGCCTCGGGCCCGGGCTCCTCTCTGATTGCTGGAAACACATCTGTTGGGACCCGGCCGTGTGAACGTGCCCCTGCCTCGTGGTGGCCTCCATCCCGTCTCTGTGACCTTCCCGCAGTGTTCGGCACAACTGCTCAGCTCTTCTTGAAGTCCTTCTGCTGGCCTTGCTCAGACCGGTCTTTCGATTTTTTATTTTATTCTATTTGTGGCTTCTTCTTAAGTTGATCTTCCTCTACCCGGTGGCCAGCAGACAGAGATGTACTTTCTGTGCGAGGACAGACAGACATTTCCAGCCTTGTGCCAGCCGGCCCCTGCCCTACCACTCCGCTCTGACTTAGCGGGCGATGCGGAGGTGAAGGCGCGTGGTCACATTCCCGGAAATCCCACCTACGGCGCCCCGATCGGAGCCCAGAGCGTCTTCACCACACGGGGGTTACTCTTCTGATTCTGGTCACCCACTTAAAACACGCACCCAACCCTCCAGGCGTGGACCTCATGGAAACAGGACTGGGCAGGCGAGCCTGGCCCCGGCCTTGCCCGGCTGACCCTGACTCTGGAGTGACGCAGATGAGGCCCCGTTTCCTTCCTCACCCATGACTTTCCGTGAACAAGCAAATGACCAGGTCGAAGCTCATGCCCCTTCTCAAAGAATCTGGGTTGACAACTGCTCCCGTGGGGTCGTGGCTGTCCCAAGAGTCTGACCGTCCCGAGAGTCGGGGAGCTGCAGGCGTGGATGGGCTGTGGTGGGTCTGAGAGCATGGGGGGCTGCAGGCCTGGATGGGCCATAGCCGCTCTGAGGGTGTGCGGGCTGCAGGCCTGGATGGCCCTGGTCTGAGGGCACCGGAGCCATAGGCATGGATGGACCATGGGCAGGCTGAGGGCACGGGGGCCCA